CTGCTTCTCCCTCTGCCCTCTTCCCTCTCATGCTCTCTGTCTCTCATTCTCTCTCTCTCAAATAAATAAATAAAATCTTTAAAAAAAAAAAAAACAGGAACAGAAGACTTATTCTACTATGGTCATACGAAAAGAACATAAATTCAGTAATATAAATACACTGATAATCAACCATAAGTCATTTTATTTGTCATCGATAGGCTAAAGCAAAAATGTCACAAAAGGACAAAGGCAAACACGTACTACCAAGAGTGAGCAATAACCATCCCAGGCTTTCCAAAGCATACCACTTTACATACCGATAAACATTTCATTTTTATTTTAAAGAGCATTTTTGCATGTGTTCTATGATTACAAAAGTAATACATGCTTATGGCAGAAAACTTGGAAAATGCAGAAAAGCACAAATACATATTTGCCTCATTTCCAGCACTATCTGCTCGCTGTCCCCACCCAGCTACTGTTTCTCTCTTTGTAAAACGCACTTGTGCTTTTTGTAACTCAACTCTATGGACTGGAATTCCACTGGATTCTGTTCACAGTGAGTACCAGTACTGATTACCTCTTAGATTTTCCACGTCCTTCTTTGTCTTTCTCTCCTTTCTCCTCCCCTTTAAGAAAGGCCCATCGTGTGGGCAACGGGAAAGCGGGGACCAAGTTTTATGTGGATCTCTACCCTGAGCACTTAGCATGGTAGCACCTGAACATCCCTTTTTCTTTCTTTAATTCACTCAACTGGTGCATATCTAGAGTTTAAAAGTAAGAAATGTCAAAGCCTTACCTTTAGATTAGCAAACGAACAGGCATCTTATGGGGAAAGGGGTACTTAAAATACACAAGCATAAAAGTCACCCGCAGATTGGTTATAAGGAGAGAAATGATGGCCCTCATTTGACAAAATGGGCTTCTCCCAAGGAGGAGTAGCTTCAGATGACTTCCTGACTTTTTTCTCCCCAATCCACATTTATTTACTAAGCACTTACTATCTTTGAGGTCATGTGACAGATACAAAGCTATACGAGGTAAGATCCTTCCTTCAGCAGCTTCACTCGAACGGGGTTGGGGGTTGGGGGGGGAAGACATGTAGGTTAAAATCTTGCAAATGAGATAAAACATGTTGAGTGGCATAAGACTGCTAGAATGTTCTGGGAATTCAGAGATGCGAGCTCTTTCCTGATTGAGAGGATCCCTTAGAGAAGGGATAAGATAGACACCTGAAATGTGTGTCTGGGTGTGCCTGTGAGTATGTATGGCTGGGCGGGAGGGAATTCAAAGCAAAAGGAACAGACTGAGCAAAGGCAAAGGAGCATAAGAGACCAAGAAGTGTTTAAAGAAGAGAGAGGAGCCAAGCTTGGCTAAAGCAAAAAAGAGTAACAGAAGAAAAAGCTGGAAAGGAAGAGTGTGAGCCCATGGCTGAGAGCCCAGAGTAGCAAACTAGTTTGGACTCTGTTCCCGCAACAATTTGCAACTATTTAGTCATTCAGCAAATGTTTCTGGATCATCTGCTATGTGCTGGATCCTGTGATATACCCAGTGAGATACAAAAAGGAAAACAAGGAAGAAAACAAGGCAGGGCTTGTGGTCCAAAAGCAAGGCATCCCTTGCTCTCACCACGGAATTCCATCATAGTGTAACTTTCTAGAAATAAAGTTTAAACTCAAGGAGGACTTATTAAGAGCAAAACAAAACTGGCCAAATGACAAAATTAATGATAAGGAACCTCTTTTGGTTACTTATTGCTGAGTGACAAACTATCCCATTAGTTAGTGATTTAAAACAACAATCATTTGATTAACTTGCTTACAATTTTGCCATTTGGGATGGGGCTTCATGGGGACAGCTGGTATCAGCTGTGTTGCTTGTGCAGCCAGGGTCTGGCTGGAATGGCCCACTTGCGTCACGTGTCGGGACCTCAGACTTCATTGTGGATTGGGCCCCTCGGCTCTCCTCCACATGGCATTCCATGCCGTTAGCTTGTTCTTCCCTCCAAAATGGTGATCTCAGACATTCTTCTTTGTTCCTGGTAATCTGGCTTCTTACACGGCGGCTGGCTTCACCTGAAGCACAAAACAGGAAGCTGCCAGGGCTCTTAAAGAGGAGCCTACAATTGGCATAGTGGTATTTTCCGCACATTCTCATGGTTAACGTGGGTCACAAAGCCAGCCCAGAGGCAACAGGAGAGGTCTACCCAAGGGCATGGATATCAGGAGGCATGATTCACTGGAGGCTCCCCAAGGAACAGTCTACCACAAATCTTAAAGTCAACTCAGTAGCATCTTCCACAATTTTATTCAACTAAGGGGCATGAAGTACATAGATGTTTCTACTCCAGAGCACATAACCTGCCTGCCCCACTCCACCTCCGCATTTTTTGAATGCTGGTAAAATGCAATTGTTTCTCAGGCCACTCACTGATTCCTTACTAGAACTGCCTCAGATTCTAAAGGGACCTTGCAAAAGAGTTTCAAACAGGCCAACATCTGGGAAGGGGGAGAGGGCTCTCAGCTCAGAACCATCCCACCTGCTCCAGAGTCTGGGTCACTCCCCAGAGCCCCTGGGTCATGTACCCCAGCTTCAAAATAGGAAGAAAGAAAACCCATTCATGCGTGGTTCCTGCTCCGCCTTCTGCCATCTGCCACATTCTTGTCTCTCCTAGGAGACAACCCCCTCATCTCTGTTACACAGTCCTATCTCTAGAGAGCTAAAGCAGAAGATGGAGTTCCCAGTTTTCAGAATGACATTAAGATCTCTCTGCAGCATTTATGACCCTCTTGTGTTTTCCATTTCCCAAACTGGACACAGTCGTCCCATATGGCCTGAATGCCAAGTTTGGTGATAATATCAGAATTTCTATAAGAGAAGCTTGGGAGGCAAACTGGTTAGAGGGAAGGTGGGAAGGACTGAGGTTTTTCTCAAAAAAATTTTTTTAAAAGATTTTATTTATTTATTTGACAGAGAGAGACACAGCGAGAGAAGGAATACAAGCAGGGGGAGAAGGAGAGGGAGAAGCAGGCCTCCCGCTAAGCAGGGAGCCCGCCATGGGACTCGATCCCAGGACCCTGGGATCATGACCTGAGCTGAAGGCGGACGCTTAATGACTGAGCCACCCAGGCGCCCTTTCTTGCAATTTTTTTTTTTTTAAAGATTTTATTTATTTATTTGACAGAGAGAGACACAGCGAGAGCTGGAATACAAGCAGGGGGAGTGGGAGAGGGAGAAGCAGGCTTCTCGCTGAGCAGGGAGCCCGATGCGGGGCTCGATCCCAGGACCCTGGGATCATGACCTGAGCCGAAGGCAGACGCTTAACGACTGAGCCACCCAGGCGCCCCCTTTCTTGCAATTTTTTACATGATCCACGTGACCCCTCATAGAACTAGAATTGATCACCAAAGAATTGATATAATTAGCCAAGCGGTGACAAGTAAAAATATATACTTAGATCACAAATTAAATTAATAAAAATGTGTATTTAGTACATATAAAAGCAAAAGGTAATTGAGTTGAATAGAGCAGAAGCTGAGGGGTTTTTAATTTTTTTTTTTATGTTTCTAGCTATCTGTCAATTACTCCACATTGAAGCAGAATCACATGGTGATTGAATATAGGCTCCAGAAGTCAGACTGTCTGGGCTGGAATTCCGGCTCCATCACTCACCGGGTCATCTGGGGCAAGCTAGTTAATTTCCCTGTGCCTTAGTTTTCTCACCTGGAAAATGAGGATAATAATAGTATCTTTCTTATAGGGTTGTTGTAAGTATTAAATAATACTTGCAAAGCGCTTAGTGTCCAATAAACATTTTCCATAAATGTTACTTATTATTCCATACATTACTATTACCCTGAGGTTTTTCAGCACATGCTTTACAGATTTTTCTTTCTCTTTATTAATTTGTGTTTGGAATGATCTTGGAGGCAATGACTGCTGAAGATTATGAGAAGCTAAAGATACTCTCCAAACCCCCTTCTTGGTCCCTTGGCCAACTTTAAATAGGTCCTGCCAATAAAAGGTATCCATAACAAATCGCAAAGTATCAATGGCAGACTAAAAAAAAAAACAACAACTTAAGGTAATATTCTCCTAAACCTCAGAAATTAAAAATAAAATAAAAAATAAATGGTAACAGATGAACTTAAGGAAAAAGCTGAGCAATAAGCACTGAATCTACCTATGCTTTCAGTGTTTTAAACAAAGCATGTACCTTCTCATCAAATGTGTATGGGGAGGAAAAGAGATACATAAAAGCAATTTAGAATTTACTTTGGATAGAATCATACAATTCCATGCAATTGCCATCAATTGTTCTCCCAGCATCCCGTTTTCTATTACAATCCCAAGAGGCAAGCAGAAGCATCCGAGGAGTTAAAAGAGGGGAATATCAGCCCCCCAGCAAGGTGCTCACTGGAACAATTTCCCTCCTGCTCTGTGTTTACAGAATCTTATTTGCATAGAAGAACTGCAGGAGCTCTGGATGATAGTAGCTCTGAAAGAAATCAGCAAAAGCGCACGTGAGGGACGGGTTCCACACACCTCCTTGACTCTACAACGAGTAGACAGTTGTCAAAGGCAGAGCGTGAGGACTGTCAATCTTCAGATTCTCAGAGGTGGAGATCATGGCCTGCGTTCATCTAATGATCTACACTGGAAGTGCCAATAGATTTTGTGCATAATCCTCCGGGCGTTTTGTCATTTACATTGCATGATGGGTCAGTTACAATCGAAACACAATTGGCCTGAGGCATTTTACGGGGAGTAACTCCCTCGTGTGGCTTGCCACCTTCTGGGTTGGCACCAGGAGGGCAGGGACCTCTGGGAGAATTCTCTACACACTCTCTCACTCACCAGCTGCCGGCAGAGTTTAGGGTTCCTTTGATCTTCTTCAGTCTGGAAGCTGTTTTCCTTTCTTTCTTTCAGATATGGAGAACAGGCTCGAAATGTTGTCTTGCAAGCCTGAGAAAAATAGTATTACCATCTTATTGTAAAAAACGTTAGAGAGTTCTAGAATCCAAGCAAGGAAGAGCACTGCACCCAATCTGTGGCCTGGGGGCCCCTGAGGGTATGAAAGTAACTTCCAGAAAGTTTGAAGACGTCAACCTTAAAGGATTTTGCTTCTAAAATGGCCAGGTCTATAAGTTGGGCTGGTAGGGAGAGCATCACTTTATAGTTTACCACTGGTTATTGTCCCATCAAAAGTAGTTCTGAATTCCTAAATTCCCAAATTCTCTCTGTCTCTGTCTCTCTCTCGTGTGCACTAATTTAAAAAAGACAAGTGGTTTGGTGGAACCTCTTGCCCCCAGTGGTTCTGAAAGCCTGACATCGATCCAACTCTGTTAGGACATGTTTTCTCTAAGAATAAAACAAAAGCTCTGTAGGGGATTGAGAAGCCAGGGGTGGGAAATCTACACAGTGACAGAAGCTAAGTAGCATGAGTTCATGTCCTCATTATGTGGGCTACTGCCCCACAGATTAAACCCATGCCTCTCTGGCCCCCACGCTCCAGTAACCTGAATTTATCTACCATTGGCAGGCACTGATCGGGCAGGTGGGGCAGGAGCAAATGGAAAATAGCACGCTTGCTCAGAGAGAGATGACACACCGGGCAGGCACCTTTCCAAGGATTCCTGTGGATACACTGCCGAGCGTCCCTAACGAAACTGGCAGGAACAGAGAGTCCAGCGGCTCCTCACAACAGGGCACAGCCGCAGGCCCCTTTAGGAATGGCCCAGAGCTCTCATGCAGTCGGTGGGAGAGTCAGACTTACCTTGGCAACCTGGGGATTTCTGTCCTGTAAATGTATCAGGAGGGAATCTTGAGTCTGCTTGACCTGACTGGTGAAAAATGTCTTCCATTTCCGCCCAGCATAGGCTGCCAATTGCCCAAACAAGACAAAGGCTGAATATCTCAGGTTGTCATTCTCCTGTGGGTCCCCGGTGAACAAAACAACAAAACCCAGGTTGTTACCAAAAGGCCACTGCATCAGAGAACATCACAGTCATCGTTCTTTGTAGGGGGTGGTTCACCAGATCCAGTCTAAAGCACTTAGCTGCCTGAGGTGGGGGACAGAGAGGAGATGGGCTGAGTCTTCAACAACCATCTTCTTCAGAGGACGAGACAATTAGACGGGGGATCACTGTGCTAATCCCAGCTTCCCAGCTCTGTTCTTTATTATTCAATGTCTTGGAGATAGGATATGTTTGTATGGTTCAAAATTCAAAATAACCAAATCGTTTTATTAACAAAAGTAAGTCTCCTTCCTACTCCTTTCTGCCTGCCACTCAATTTCCCTCCCATGAATGAACAAAGTTATACATATTGTGTGTATCCCTCCAAAAAAATTAAGACGAAAAAGAATAAAACATGTATTATATTGTCCTTTCTCACATTTTTACACAAATAGAAGCACACCATCCCACTGTTATGTATTTTGATCTTTCACCAATCTATCTGAGAGCTCTTTCCATGTCACTACCTAAAGGAATTTGGGGTGGCTGCACTATAATTCATTCGACCCATCTCCTGTTGATTATTCACAGAGTTTCTACAAGGGCATGTCTCTTCACTTCTGGTCTGAGTTTCTCCTTCTGTAGTAGAGATAACAATTGTTTCTTCCCTGACACCCTGCGATCTCTCCCTGCTTTTAGTACGGTTGGCTGATTTGTCTCTGAATGTGTCTCAGTGGGTTCAGTCCTTTCTTGTTCTCCAAGGTGAGAGGTCTGGCCCAGGTATCTCCCTTTCCTGATGAGGAGACCAAGGCTCAGGGCATTTCAGAGACTTGTGGGAGTCACACTGTCTGGCGACCATGAACCAGGGTAGCACCCAGTCTCCTGACTGTTGGTGAAGGGATTTTATATCAGTGTTTCCTGGTCCCCTGAAATGTCCAGGCAAACCAGAAGGAACAGAGCTGGGCTGGGCCTCTTCAGGGGCAAGGAGCACCTAGAACTGGGGGTCACAGACACTCAGCAAGACCAAAGACCACTGATGGTTTCATGAACTATTGAAAAATATTTTTTAGCACATGGGACACTTACACAAATTGCTTTAGTGTTGCACTTTCTTCACTGTTCTACCAATGTGTGTGTGTGTGTGTGTGTAATTCAATTCAATGGTACCCTACTGCTGTAAGAGGTACAAGACACATAAAATGGGTGCCTGGCCTGCTAGGGGCCTGACAGTCATCTGACAGGGAACACATCCCCAAGCGAGCACAGCATACGACAGTAGTCAGGGTGCCATGCTAGATATACACTGTCAGGAAACAACTCTCCACGACTATTTCCAGGTTACTATATACAACCAGGGCTTTCTGGTCAAAAATTACAGTCCATCTGGGTATAAAAAAGTGATTGCATGGCAAACAAGTCCTGGAAATTAAGATAGCACCTGCAGGGAGATCTAGACATCTTCCTGGAGATATTTGTTTACATTCCAGGGAGGTGAAGTAGAGACCAGAGATGACTGGTTTGCATTCCAGAGCAAAGGTCTCTCTGTCTCCCTGAGTGCGAGGAGAGGCAAATGGGCCAGAAGCCCCTGTGTAAACTCCAAGTTTCATAATTTCAAGATTTCTTTTCCTCTCGTGTGGCACAGGTCCATCTGGGGAATTCGGTGTGGGGACCTCTCGCAAGGTGCTTTGGGGGTAAATAAAAGGGCTGTTTCCTGTTCTACAGGTATTATCTCTCTGTTAGAGGGTGTGTGTGTGTGTGTGTGTGTAACTGCAGCAGGCTAGCTGGTTAGCTTGGAAGGAAGGTATCTCAGAGTCCCCACAGTTTCAGAGCAAACAACGTATCAGTGCACTTTTTTCTTAGCCTGCCTTGTCACATGGCAGCGAAGAGCACAGGTCCTATAGTCAGAAAGCCTGGGCTCATATCCTGTCACAGGCTCTGTGAATCTCGGGCAAGTCCCCTAAACTCTCTGTGCCTTGGTTTCCTCCTTCATAAAGTGAAGATAATAATAGTGCCGACCTCGGGCGCCTGGGTGGCTCAGTCGTTGGGCGTCTGCCTTTGGCTCAGGTCATGATCCCAGGGTCCTGGGATCGAGTCCTGCATCGGGCTCCCTGCTTGGCAGGAAGCCTGCTTCTCCCTCTCCCACTCCCCCTGCTTGTGTTCCTGCTCTTGCTATCTCTCTGTTAAATAAATAAATAAAATCTTAAAAAAATAAAAATAAAAATAATAGTGCCGACCTCACAGGGTTATTGAGAAGATTCTATGAGATAACCCATGAAAACTGCCTAGCACCATGCCTGGCTCGCTAAACACTAAGTACTGTTATTGTCACATTCATAACAAAGTACTGAATACATGAGGGCGCTGTTATCAGCATCTTCACTATCATCTGCATCACCACCTTCATCATCGGTATATATATAGTCACTTCTCTATAACAACAAAAACTCCTCCTTCTTTATATGTCTTCCATAACCCCCAGTACGATACTAGCCAATCAATGATTTCTTAATAAATAAGTGAATAATACAGACCATGTTCTCTGAGTCACACTCCACCCAGGGCTCACATTTCTCATCCCACTTCAACTTTAATAACCCAGAATTCTTCTGAATTGTCTCACTTACGTCATCTAACAAAGTCCTGGTCTGAAGAGTGATGTCTACGAAGAAAGAGCCCAGACTTTTCCCCTGGATCTTGCCCAAGATGATGGTCAGAGTCTTCATGCTCTCGTGGATAACTTCAGCACTCACAGGGTCATACAGTCCATGCACCAGCAGATCTAGGACAATTTTCTTATACTTTCTCACCTGTTAACACAGTTTGAAATGCATGAGTAGTCCAGAAATTGCTCCCCGTGCGTTGAAGAGCAATCCTACTTCTAATCTTCCAATAACCTAGGACTTGGACTGAGAGCGTGGCAGCAACAAATCTCATTAAAATAACAAATGCTTCCATTAACCTGACCCAAGAGCCAGCTCAGTCTTGGAAGAGGAACAGAAAGAGCAATCTGGAGCTGGTCTATGAGCAGATGAGGCCGGAAGGGCACGTCAAGGAGTGCGGTGGGCTGGATGATCTAGACATCTGGGGCATAGCGGATACTTTTATCGGGGATGAGATGAAATGGTCACTGAAGTCAACAGATGCTAAAAGCAGAGGTGGGGAAAACATCTTTTACTAAACAGGCATAAATTATTCAAAAATCAATTAAATTCACCCAAGAGGGTGATGTCCAGGTGTGTGTTAATCCCATCTGCAGCTCTGTTTCCCAAGGCTGATAATACTGAGGTGTGATGACCCCCAAATAACCCCAAATGAGTCACACCCTTGTACAGTCTCTTTCTATTGAGCGTGGAAAGAACCAGTGACTTTGCTTCTAGTCTCTAGAATATGACGACAGTGATGGGATATCATTCCCATGGTTACATTATATTACGTAAGAGTCCACCTGAGCAGACATGAGTGGTAGAGGCTCTCCCGTTGGCCTTGAAGAAGAAAGCTCACATGCTCTAAGAGAACAGCCTCAAGGAGCGGAGCTGGCCAGTCAGCAAGAGAGCAGGGACCTCAGTCCTACAACTGGAAGGAGCCGCGTTCTTCCAACGGCCACAGAAGCTTAGAAGAGGAGCCCAGGCTTCAGAAAGGAATGCAGTCTGACCCACACCTTGATGGTAGCCTTGTGAGATCCTGAGCAGAGGACCTGGCTATGCCGTACCTAAACCCCTAACCCAAGGAAACTTCAAGAGGATGAATGCTAGGTCTGTGGTGATCTGTCACACAGCAACAGATAACTGGTACATGAAGCACTGTCTCCCAGTCCGAGACTCCAGGCCATGAGGGCTGGCCAGGTGCCACTTTTCCCTCCTACCTTGTCCGGGGTCTCACAGGCCATGGTTCCCAGGCCTCTCATTGCCATGTGACGCTTTTTAGCGTTGGGGTCCTGGGCTCTTTCTGCCAAGTTGGAGAACACATTCTTCAGAGACTCCCGCTTCTGGAACCTCAGTGTCCAAGAGACCTGGGTAGTAAGTCAAAAATGTATTGATTTGGGGGCGCCTGGGTGGCTCAGATGGTTAAGCGTCTGCCTTCGGCTCAGGTCATGATCCCAGGGTCCTGGGATCGAGACCCGCATCGGGCTCCCGGCTCAGCGGGGAGCCTGCTTCTCCCTCTGCCTCTCTCTCTCTGTCTCTTATGAATAAATAAATAAAATCTTTAAAAAAAATGTATTGATTTGGGGAGTGTTCAGAGGCATACCCATCCCAACCCCAATCCCTCCCTCTAAAGAAAATCCTGTGTGGCCTGCTCAACTTAGGCCATCTTTCTCCACCTAAAGACACCCGATTTTTGCTGGAAATACATTAGTTTGATCTACATAATGAAGAAAATGGATGGAAGAGGAAAGAGGTAGAGACAAATAATGCAGGGTTGGTGTTGAGGTAGATTGGGGGAAGTATGGGGACAGGTGCTCTAGGATCACTGAGGGTGTGCTAGAGCTCAGAAGAAAGGGGGCTTCAGGGGCGCCTGGGTGGCTCAGTCAGTTAAGCGTCTGTCTTGGGCTCAGGTCATGATCCCGGAGTCCTGGGATCGAGCCCCGCATTGGGTTCCCCGCCCACTGCTTGTGCTCTTTCGCACTCTCTCTCTCTGTGTCAAATAAATAAATAAAATCATTTAAAAAAAAAAAAGAAAGAAAGGGGGCTTTAGACAGTTGATGTGAGCTGAGACCAGGGATCCTTCACAGGACAAGAAATGCTCGGCTGCTTCCATTTCAAAGAAAAGCATTTCCCCAACTCTTCTTACTCCTCCAGCTTTTCCCCACTTTTCTGCTCTACCTTGTAGCTAAACACCTTAAAAGATGTGTCTATACTGGTTTTCTCCAATTTGTCTCTCCGTTATCTCTTGAACCTTCTGCAGTCAGGTTGATGTGGCCAAATCCAAGGGTTAATTCTCAGTACTTGTCTTCATCAACCTCTCGACAGCATTTGACCCAACTAGCAAACCACATCTACAAACATCTCAGGGCACCTAAAGGATGTCCCACCAGAATGCATACATCTGAGCAACTAAGATTAGGAAAAGAAACGCGTAAGTAATGCAAATTGGGAAACCCCGTGTGGCCAATGCAGGAAGCTACTTCAGGCACTGAACTCTCACTGCAGGGCAAGGGCCGGGTTACCTCTGTCGTGAGCCTATGAGACCAGGCAGGCCGCAGTGTTCTGTGCTTCACACGACACAGCAACATGTGCCGACATCAGAACCAAGACAATGCAGGATCCAGACAAGATCCAGGAAAAAACCACCTCCTCACCATCCTGGGGAGTGAGGGGCTGCAGAATGGACCCACAGTCCTATTTGGTATTTGGATGATCACCAGGTCTCATCATTATTTCTCAGTATGCGTTGCAGTTCATTCTATACTTTTATGATTAAGTTAGCAGCAAGCCAAATTCCTCCCATCTTATCTTGCTATCCTATAAACATTCAGTCCGTGTTATAAGAAGTGTCATTAAGCTTTTTTCAGAACACCTCAGTGGAGCCACCACAACTAATGCAGACCAGGCGCTGTTACATGTGGTTGTTGGGAGGGACCTCGGTTTATAATATTTTGTGACAGACCTTGGAAAAGAAAGACATCATTGACGTCCTTTTCTTCTTGGGCTGGGAGGTGGGGATGGGCAGGGGCTGGCCCAGGATTCCTCTCTGTGTTTGATCCATGGAACTAAAAGAAAACAGAATCGTCATGTGAGCCACAAACCTTCTGCCAAGCCTTGTCACCAACAAGCAGTGTCATACAAAACACCGTGCCAGGGTAAGAACATAAAGAAGCAACATCCCAGAGGCCTGTCCTTTAGGAGCCTGTCCCGTTGGTGAGGAGATAGGAACAGTCCCATCAAAAGATAAAGAGCAGGAGGAAATGCAGCAGGGGCATCCAGATGGTCTGTCCCGTGGTTCCCATTCCATCCAAGAGCCTTGTACCAGAATCACCAAAGAAATGAAATAAAGATTCTAGGCCCCACCCACACAGATTCTCATGAGTTAAAGTAAAATGTAGCCTGAAACTCTGTGTTTTTAAAAGATGCCCAGGAATGTAAATTGGTACTGCATTTTAGAGGGGATCTTGATGTCATCTCCTCTAGTTGTGAAATGCACATATCTTTCAGCCATTCTTGCGTCCCATGGGATACACTGGTACATCATCTACTCAAAGACATACGGATAGGATAGGCCCTACCACTTTGTAATGAACAATCTAATGTCCTTTAATAGTTGTAACTAGTTATTTAATATAAATAAGTTAGACCTATCTATTACAACTACACAACTATAGATGACCACAATGTTGTAATTAAAAAGAATATTGGGCAAAAACAACAACAACAACAAAAAAACCCACTAAAAAATACTTAAAAAAAAAAGAAAAATCTATATAGATAATATATGTTAATAAACATAATTTTTTGGAAGGAAAAAAAGAATTTTGGGCAGATCTACCTATGCTACAATGATCTCCAAAACATGCTGTTGAGCAAAAAGTAAAGATTAGTATGCTACTGTTAGTATGAGAAAGGGAAATATATATGTACATATATGCTTGCACGTGCATAGAACAGGGAAGAATACCCAAGAAATTGTAACAAAAACTGCCTGTGGGGTAGAAATCTGAGCAACCAGGGTGAGAAGAACACTTACTTTTTCATACTTTTAAAAATATCTACAGTTTTGTAATTTCACCACATGTATATATTATTTAAAATATATATTATAAATAAATATAGCTCACAAAGTATTTCTGATCTACAGCCCGAGTTGAGGTACACTACTATAAACTAGTATAAACGAGCCTGAACTAGTAGAAGTCTGAACTAGGATACTAGAATCCATTGCCAGATCCAAAGTCATGAAGACTTCCCCTATGTTTTCTTCCAAGATTTTTTACAGTTTTAGCTCTTATATTTAGACCGTTGATCCATTTTAAGTACATTTTTGAATGTGGTATGTGGTAGGAGTCTAACTTCATCAGAACTATTGACTTTTGTTGTGGTTAAAAAAAATTTAGTAGGGGAAATGATAGGCAAGGAGCTGCATGGGTTCTCTGTCGCTAGCCACAGTAAAGTCACCTAAGGAACTTTCCATCTCCTGATGCCCTGGCTGTGCCTGAGACCAAGTCTATCACCATCTCTGGAGGTGAGCCCTGGCATCAAGTCATTTTAAAGCTCACCCAGGGGGCACCTGGGTGGCTCAGTCGTTAAGCGTCTGCCTTGGGCTCAGGTCATGATCTCAGGGTCCTGGGATCGAGTCCCACATCGGGCTCCCTGCTCAGTGGGAAGCCTGCTTCTC